CCCAGCTCCGCCACTCACTGGCTGTGCAACCTTAACCAAGCTACTGACCCTTTCTGAGCCTCCATTTTCTCAGCATCAAAGAGAATAATTAGTGATGGCCTAGGGCTGGAAGCCAGAGAGAATGGAGAGTGACTGCTAACGAGTATGGGGTTTCTTTCTGAGATGATGAAAATGACCTAAATTAGATAGTGGTGATGGTTGCACAACTTTGTGAATATGTTAAAAGCCATTGAATTGTACACTTGGCATGTAAATTATATCTCAATAAAGTGGGTTGTAAAAAAGTGGGGACAAAAGGGGGGAAGAATAGCAGCGCTTACTGCATAGTGTTGTGGTAAGGGGACAGCACTAAGCCTGCACAGGGTAAGCATTCAATAAGGATTAGTGATTAGCCACTACTAGGGATCTGGGTGGGTGGGTTGGCGTCCTGGGGTCAGGACTGGTGTCCATGAATGTACACTGCTGGGTGCCTGCCTACAAGGCCTACCTGGGTCCCTGGTGCCGGGACAGCAGATTGTCAAGCGGCTGAGGTGCCCCCATAATTGGCCGGGGCTCCTGGGTGGCTGCTCCCTGGCAGGGATGGAAAGTGCATGGCCCTCCTCCCACCTCCCTGCCCGGGTCCCTGGAGAGGAGGCTGCCCACCATGGCAGGCAGGCTCTGCTGTTCACTCTCCCCAACTCACAGAGCACTCATATTTTCCATGTGCAGCAGACCGTGAATTCACCTTCATACTAGTTACAGGGTTATTTAGCTTCTCCTGACACTGGCAATCACCAAACTTTAATTCGCTGCTTGGCTTCTCCCTGCTGTGCCTTCTGCCCAACCCCAAAATCCCTGGGAAAGGATGGGAAGGACCTAGTCCAGCCCCCTCTTGCCAAAGCTTGCCCTTTGGAGTGATGGAGTGATGGCAGAAGGGGGGTGGGCAGGAAGAGAAGATGATGGGCAGGCAGAGGGCCAGGGGAGAGGACAGAACTGGAGAGAGGAAGCACCACCAGGACCAAGGGAAGTTCCATCCTGCCCCCCAAGCCTGACACGAATGTATTCAGCCCGACACCCACCCTGCTGTGAATGAAGATTTGGCTGACTGGGCTGCAGGTCTGAGGGCTGGCTGCCCCAGCCAGGCCCTACCAGGCCAGGACGCCCTGAGCTCCCAAGACCAGGCACTGGCATGGGCTGGCTCCTTTGCCTGATGCTCAATGAGCAGGTGCCCATCTGGGCACGCACCTGAAGGAGCCCATTCTTACCAACCTGAGAAGCCAGCTCTCATTCTCCCTTGCCTCCCCTGTGTCAGCCATTCTGCCCTGTAGAGGCTTCTCTCTGGCTTATTGCCCTGCTGCCTGTATAATGCCTCTCTTCCTTTGATGAAGGCAGGTGTCTCTGCTGAAAGCTGCAGCCAAACATTAGATCGGAGACAGACTCTGAGCCAAGTCCCACCAAGCACCCAATCACATAACCCAGCCCAGCGCGGAAGGCGGGGCCCAAGCTGGGTGTCCCAGGGCTGGCTTCCTTGCCTCCTGGGAGAGGTGACAGCCACCTCCAGTACCCATGGCCAGCCCCAGCAGGGTCTTCCCTTGGCTCGGCACTTCCCTTTCTATCTCCCTTGTGCTCCCACACAATCTCTAGGAGTGGACGCAGCTCCCAGAAGGCCCACAGAGGCCTTTGGTTGGCTCAGGGGCCAGGTAAACCCAGCCATCTCGGACTACCCCTCCCAGCTCCCTGCTAGCTCTTGAAGTGTCACCATCGTCCTTCCTCAGAACCTCCCGGGCAAGCAAGGGAGCAACAGTTTTCTCTAAGAACCATCGTGGAGAACCAGGGAACTCTCTTCCCCAAATCCAAGCTGGTGCCATCATCCACTCATTAATCAGAGAGTCCCAGGAACAGGCCACACAGAGAGGACTCACAAAGACCAGGGGGCTGGCAAAGCAGAGGCAGGGCTGGGGACATAGCCAGAAGGAGGGGAGAGGCAGGGCCATCCACTGGGGATCCAAGCTGTGTTTCCTTCCTCCTAGCTCCTTTGCACTGCCCCACCCCTGCTGGCCATGGTGGCCTGGGCAAGAGAGATGTCATCGGGACCCATGGCAGAGATGGGAGAAGGGGCTTGTTGACTGCAAACTGTCCATTATGGCTCAGATTATAAGCATATTGTGCAGGGCTCTCTGCACGATGCCGAGGAAATCCAATACGCTGAAAGGTTAATGCAATCAATTAGGGTGACAAGGAAGTAAAGTAAAGCCTTCGGAGTAGATGAAAAGGAGAGAGAGTGCACCATGGAGTTGGGGGTGGCAGTCTGGGTGGAGGGAAGGTGAGCAGGAAGAGAGACTAGTGGGATACAGAGAGACTGTGCGGAGGCAGAAACCGAGATATACAAAAGGCTAGGAGCCCACGGAAGGAGGACAGTAGGAGAGATGGCAGCAGAGGCAGCAAGAGAGGGTGACCAGTGGATTGTGTGGGGACACAGCTCCAGGCCAGACTGACTGCTGCACAGCTTCATTTCCTTCCCCCTTCCCCCTCCCTGCCGGCCTTTCCTCCAGGGCTTGGAGCCTGGCTCCCAGATCAGCTCACAGCACTAGTAATGTGTTGGAGCGGCCTTGGTCCTTGCCTCGGTACCAAGCACTCACCGTGTAACTTCCAGACTCAGAGGTCCTGGGGCAAGGGTGGGGAACTCCATGGAACCTGCCCAGGGATGGCTGCCACTCTAGGCATGAGAAGGGAGGAGGGAAGGCCCAAACAGGCACTCCCTCCCTATCAGGCCCGGGGCTAGACACCTTCGGCCACATGAACTCTTGTGCCCCAATTACCCTGCAAAGTAGATAATCACTTGTCTTACAGAGAAGGAAACTAGATCTGAGAACTTGCTAAAGGCTGCAGGATGGAGACATAGGGCTCCTGGGATGCTGGGCTCCAAGGAAGTGGGGGCTATTGAGGAGAGGGCAAGCTGGGATACTTCTAGGTGGGTGGGACTGAACAGAGGATGAAGCCTTAGGAGAGGACAGAGAGAGAAGGTGGCCCCAAATAGACAGGGACGGCCAGCCGCCCCACAGCCCCTGGGAAGAGGCTCCCAGACCACTGCCTGGGCCCCTCAGTGCAATCCCATGGCAGACAGGAGCTCAGGGCAGGCTGATGGCTGCACAACACAGCGCACTTAATGCCAGGGAGCCTGTACACCTACAAATGGTTACAGCGGTAAATTTCATGTTATGTATACTCTGCCACTTAAAAAAATAATAATAATAGAGGGCAGGAGGGAGCGAATTTTTCCTGTAAAGGGCCAGATAGTAAATATTTTAGGTTTTGCCGGCCAAACATTCTCTGTTGCAGCTACTCAGCAGTGCTGCTGTAGAGTGAAAGCAGCCATAACCAATCTGCAAATGAATGGGTGTGGCTGTGTTCCAATAAAACTTTATTTACAAAAAGAGGCAGTGGGCCAAATTTGGCCCAAGGGCCATCTTTTGCCAAGCCTTGCTCCAAAGGATGGAAGCTCCTGGGGCTGACCCTCAGGCCCCAGATGCTGGGCTCCACCCCACTACCTAGGGACAGAAGTACCAGTCTGGATCTTGCTGAGAAGTGGAGGAAACGACTGGGGAGAGGCCTCAGGAGGGAGTCAGGTTCTCAGCATCAGAAGAGGGTGGAGGAGAAGGGAAGGAGAGCAAGCACTAGCGACGACGGGAAGCCCGTGTCCAGGAACCGGTCCCAGCTCCCAGCTTCCTAGGGAGACCCTCCCTGGGCTTCAGATTCTCCTCAGCGACCCGAAGGGGTGGAGACCTGCAGCTGTCGCATTCTAGGAATCTCAGTGCCATGAGAGAGGTGGTAGGCTGGGGCTAAGTGTGGGGCAGCAGCGGTGCTGGGCTGGCCAGAGGGAACACCGGGGGAGAGGAAGGCGAGCAGAGAGGCCCAGGGAGCAGCGCTGTAACCAGGGCGGTGCTGGGGCAAAGGGAGGAATCCTCAGGCCCCAGCGAGAGCGCAGGGCGCAGGCCGGCCTGCCCTACACCCGGCCGCCTCTGATCACGTTTTCAGGGCCACTGCCCGCAGGCACAGACAATGCTGGGGGAGCCTTTGAAGTCCAAAAGGGATGCCGCGGTGGGAGCGGGGCGATTCCCCTCCCTTCCCCCCATCATCCCCGGGGAGGGGGCCGAAGGACAAAACCCGAGCCAGTCCCAGCCGGGCCCCCAAAACGCTTGAGACAAAGGGAAAACAAACAGGTTTGGAGCAGGCGCACGGTGTCGCGTCTGCCCCCGCCCGTGGAGGGCAGATGATGGATGGCCGCAGCCAGCCAGCTCGCCTGCGGGGCAGGTCCCGCTATTTACATAACACTGGCGTTCCACCGGTCACCTTTGACACAGCGCTGCCTGGGGCCGAGGCCCGGTGGCCCCCAAGGTTCCTCGAGCCAGCCACCCCCCCGACCAGATAGCCTGTGAAGGCCTGGCCAAGCTGGGGAAGCCCCAGCCCTGGGAAGGGCAGGCCACCAATCTGCTCTGGGCTCAGGGCCTGAGGCATCCTCCTGCCAGCCTCTCATGGAGGAAGGAGGAGGCCACTGGGGCCCAGCAGCCTTCATGCAAGGAGGCAGGGCTGGAGTTCTGTGGCTTCCAAGTCTACTTGGTTCCCCAAGCACCAGCAACAAGCAGAGCTTCTGGAGAGCCACAGCAGCCGCCAGAGTGGGCAGACAGCAGTGTGGAGGGCTGGGCATGGTACCACCAGGCGGCCAAGCGTGGGCACCACAAGCCCTGGCAGCCAAGCCCCTTTGGCTTACATTGCCCAAAGTCTGTGATCCATGTGTCCCTCCCCCTTTTCTAGCCTAAGAGCCAATCTGAGATGCTCCTGCTTGGGGCCATCTCTTCCTGCCAGGTTCAAATGGGCAGCACGGCTCCAATTCCCTGTCTACATCTTCCCTACACTCCTGGGAGGTCAGCACAGCTGGACCCAGCCCAGAGTGACATGTACGAGAAGAGTGGTCACCAGCCAGGGGAGAGGACACAGGATCAGGGAGGAGGCTCAGGCCTTACCTTGTAGCAGGTCCTCGGAGGCTCCTCTCTTCAAGTAGGGGCGTCACTTCATCCTGGGGAGGGAGAGAAAAGAACCCTGTTAGCCTTTCAAGGCAAGATACCCACGACTCTCCAAGTGCGGGCCCTCCATCCTGCTGGGTGCCCCACGGCTCCTGCTGGGGCTCCTGCTGTCTGTGCGCAAGTAGCTGATGCTCCAATGCTGGCCAATGAGGCAAAAAATTCAGACATGCTGGGTGGGCACTGATTGGGGTCCATTTAAAAGTATATGCCAACCAAACTTTGAAAATATTCAGAAAGCAGTGAGGGCTGATCACCGTGGCCATCCGGCCCTTAGGATACCCCTAAGGAAAGAGAGAAAGGCTAGACAGCTCCATACACCTCCACAGAGGCAGAGAGGGGAGCTTGTGGTGGGGGGGTCTCCTGTGGAGCTGCAGTGGCTGAGCAGCCACTGGGGACAACGACAGAGTAAACATCACCCATTCATTTATTCTTCCTCTGGCCCCTGAACATAAAAATGGGAGATGCCAAGCTGTTCACTGTAGCAAGTGGAAGAGGGGAGCAAGGGTGGACAGGGCCATGGCACCAAGAGGCCTGACCCATGAATGGGGTTCCGGCAGCACCTGCCACCTGGGGTTCCACCGATGAGTCACAATAACCCACGCTGGGGGCCACGTGGGAGAGAGAAAAAGGCCCAACAGTGTAGTGGGTCTTTAGCCAACACACAACCAGCCCAGCTGGCCAGGCAGAGACCCTCCTGCCCAGAGCTTAATTTTGGGGGGCCAGGTTCAAATGGGACAGACTTCTTATGTGGAGAAAAACCCATGGAGCCCTCTGCCTGCTGACCTGGGCCTACCTGCCCCGGCCTGAGCCAGGCCCCCCAGGCCTCAGCACTCTACCCACACACAGAAGGATTTTCTGTTTATTGTGGTGTTTTTCTCCCCACTCCCTCATTGTGGCTTATCAATGATGCAAGAGGAATAACACCAATTTCTTTAGGCTGTGTAATCCCCAAATCAGATTGGGGGGATTGCAAGAGGTGAGGTGACCTTGTACAGAGTTCCTGGAATGCCACCCAGTCCCGCCACCCGCCCTCCCGTTCCCAGGACATGTTTAGACAGATAATGCTAATTGTACTTGACACGTCCTCCTAAGGAGGCTGGGTCCTCTGCCTGCTTTCGCTGCCTTTGCTGGGCTGCCTGGACAGAGGGTGCCCACCGGGGCAGAGCCCACCCTACTGGACACAGGGCTCGGGTAGCGTTGAGCAGCTGGGGAGGGTTGCTCCATGGGCCGCCACCACCCATCTGACCCAGATAGTGAGAAGCCGGGGGTCTGCAGAGAGCTGGGTGGACTGAGACAGGGGGCAGTAGAGAGGAAGGGGGAGCCATGCCCAGATGGAAGAGGGGGCAGATGTTGGGAGAGTGGGAAAGGGAAGTTGGAGAGGTCAGGTAGATGAAGTGGAGGCCAAACAGTGCTGGGCCCCGGGGCAGGGGATGGGGACCCCAGGCCTCTGCTGAGGCGCTGGGCAGCCAGAGCTTGCATCCCAGCCGGCCAGCCCCGGGACCAGTGGGCATCATCACTGTCCTGTCCATCCCACACTCGCCTGCCTGCTGTCTCTCCAGGCACCCTGGCCAGCCTCCCTTGAACCCCCAAAGCCCCCCAACTCCAAAGCTCCAGTATCTCCCTTCCACCACCTTTTTCTCCCCTCCCATCCTCCCTGGCAACTGTGCATTTATTAATTCATGAGGCACTAATTAGTTCTTTGTTTAATTTTGTGTTAAACAGACTGACCGGAATGATAACGACTTGCAGCACTGTGTTGCTGTCCCCAACCACCCCTGTTTTCTGACAGCGAGGGAGCGCGGGAGACCGGAGCGCTGAACCCAAATCCCTCAGCAGTTGCACTTCATTAAGTCAAAATGTGACAAGAAGCTTAGAGAGCAACTTGCAGATCTGATCACACAGAACAATCGGGAGAAAACTTTCCCGGAGTTGTCGGAGGGGATGCTACCACCAGGACCGGGATGCGAACTGGGGTTCTGTCCTTCACCGGCCCCGGGGGCGGGCCTGGCTGCCAGGAGCAGGGAGGCTGTCTCTGGGTGGGGTCTGGGACACTGAGTGGATTCTGGAACCCCAGCGGGGGCCTGAGAAGTTCAACTTTATCTTCTTTTCTCACGAGGCACTCTGTCTCTCTCTGCCTCCCGCTGTCCCTGATGTCTGGCTCTGGCCTGTGTGAGTGAGTGCCTGGGCACACCCAAGGCCCAGAAGAGTCAGAAGGCTGCTTAAGTTAAGGAAGGATTCTGCAAGGCCAGGGGACATGTACAGAGTGGGAAAACAGAGCAGAGCGGGAGCCCCTACACTCAGAAAGCCTGGCATGCAGCCCTTCCTGGTTAAGAAAGAGAAGTGACGTGCTCATGGGTCATGGCCAATGTAACCACTCCCTGCTGGCTGTCCAACCACCTGTCCATCCACCCACCCATCATCCATCTGCTCATCCCCTACCACCCACCCAACCATCCACCCGTCCTTCCAACGTTCATTATCCTAAGTACTCTGACTAGAAGACTGAGAACCACAGGGCTGAGTTCCGCACAGAGGTACATGGCAAATCAGAAACAGAACCAGAGCCTCGAGCCTCCAGGATGAGGTGGCTGACTGTAGGCAGGCAGCTGAGCTGACAGTGACAACAGCCTTGTAACCTGCTCCCTCGTGTCCGTGTCAAAAAGCAGAATCTTGGCCTCAGAGGTGTCACACCGCTAACCTCACTGGCCCGTGGCCAATGGCAAGGGTAAGGACAGGTGGAAGTGAAATCAAGCCCTGCCCCAGTCTACAGGCAGGGCCCTGCCTTCCTTTTACCTGATCCTAATCTCTGAAGTGTGGACCATGCCTTACATGAATGGGAACATGAAAGGGGATGCCTGCCCTCCCTCTGAAGGCCTGCCCAGCCAGCCCACAGGCCGAGGAAGGGAGTCGGCAGCTTCCTGAGGCTTTCCCCCAGCCACTTCTGAAGTGCAGTGGTCTCTCACCCAAGCCTGGCAGCCCTGGGATGGCTTCTGTTAATTTACTGTCAGGCTGCCTAAGCAAACCAATTAAAACTAATCATTAATTATAAAAGAGCGAGAAAAGTAGAAGAGAGAAATGAGGGTGAAAGACAGAGATGGGAAGGAGGCACAGAGGAAGTGGAAGAGAGAAGGAAGACTCAGAGGCCTGCAGGGCACTCCCGGGGGACTGTGGGGCTGGGGGCTGGAGGGACCAGAAGTTCCTGGGCACTCAGAAGTGCTGGGTGGGGGAGGGCAGGGAGGAGGCCAAGGCCATGGAAGGGGCTGCCACAGGAAAGGGGAAGAGGGACAGGCCAGGAGAAAGGGGGCAGGGGAGGAGAAATGGCAAGAAGCTGCTGTGACCAGCATACCAGGACCTGAAGAGCCTCACCCACCTGCAGTCCTCTCTGGATGGAGGCACCGATGGTCCAGGACCTGGCTTTGGAGTGTCCACCCCTGGCTGCATGGCCCCATAGTTACGAGGCGCAGCTGATTATGCAGCACCAGGCCAGGCTCCTGGTCCTAGACACTCTACCTGCTTGCCAAGCCTCTCAGGCCAGGGAGGCTGAGGGCAGCTGTCGGCTGCCCATCTACCCGCCAGCGCTGCCCTGCCCCCTCCCCCATCCTCGCACAGACCCTCTCCCTGGCCTGGCCCTTTCACAGGGGCTGAGGCCGTGTCAGGCAGCTCGGGGAGGGGGCAGCGCAGACAACAAGGGGCAGTGTCATGGAAACGGGCACTTTCCCCGAGAAATATTCTGTTTGGCCTCCTTCCTGCATTGAGGAGCTGTCAGGAGCCTGAGTGAGAGCCACACCACCCCGGGACCAGGCGTGACAAAACCTATTTTCTGCCTCAAATTTGATTGATTAAAAAACTTTTTAGGAAAACCATGTTAAAAGAGTGAAAAAAAAGAGAGAGATGGAGAGACTGAGAGAGAGAGAGAGAGAGAGAGACGGAGAGAAAAAGAGAAATGAGGAGGAAATAAAGAGAGTAGAAAGTGCTGCTGGGGGAGAGAAAGGCCACAGGCAGGCTGAGCAGTTACCCAGGCAATGACGCTGGGGATGCGAGTCAGTGGGGAGGCCGCAGCATAACCGGGCAAAACGGAAAGGTCAGAGGAAGCCCGAAACTTTTACACAGTGGTTAGCGGGACAATGAGAGGCTCGAGGGCCGAGATCCAGCAGGTGTCAGGTCTCCATGTGGTGGCAGCCAGGGAGGGGTGCAGGCCCCCGCCTCGGGGAAGAAGCCTGATACTCCCAGGCAGGGGGTGGGCCTGCGGGGGTGGCTGCCCGGCTCCAGGAGTCAGAGCAGGCCCGAGGACCGGCTCAGGGTCGGGGTCCAAGCACAGGCTGGGCTCGAATTTGGCCAGAAACCTGAAATATCTGTACAAGGTCCAGAGGGAGGGTCTAGTATTTTGGGGGCAGGAAAGGGTTTTGCCACCTGTTCTCTCAAGTCCTGGCTCAGAAAACATTTTTAGTAAATAAGTAAATTAAAAAGCAGGGTGGTGCCCAGCCGACCCCATCAGCTTCAGGCCCTCTGGCTCACCCTCCTGGTCTCAGACGTCCCCATCCAGGCCCTTAGTCCCTCTGTGGGGTGCTGCCCTGCGTACCCTGGCTTGTCCTCTTTTCCCATCTGAAACTGAAACAGGCCTGGCCAGGGGCTTGGCTGTGTTGGGAGGCCCTGCCTTACTCTCTCAGGGCTCCATGAGAACAGCCAGCTTCCCCACCTCTCCTAAGACCCCAGAAGATGAGGAACACCCCCCGTTTCCCAGAGGCCCTGCCTGACCACTCCAGGTGGAGGTGCCTCAGATCTTCCCGGTAGGTCTCATCTTGTCCCCAAGAAGAGGGGTCCTGGTTGGTGGCTGGGTTTCTCCAGGGTACTGGGAGGGGTGCTTGGCAGGGTCCAATCCTGCCTTTGGCAGCTCAGGACTCAATGTGGGTGACATAGTGCTTCCCTGGACAGATGGGTACATTCTGCCAGACAAACACATAGAAAGACAACACCTGCCCTGGGCTTTGCCCTG